CAGAGAGAAACATAATTGGAATCTGTGAAGGTCATTGTTAATTTGTGTATTCTTTGTTTAATGTTTCCAGAACGAAAAGACAAAAGGTCTAAAGTACCTATACTCGCAGATCCACAATTTCCCGGATAAGCCTTTGCTGCGAAAAGTGTTGGCAAATTATTTGTTGAATAATATTGATAAGATCGAAAAAAATTCAAAAGCTGCCACGCGCATGGTTCAAAGTACAATTGTCATGCAGCGCACACATTCAAAACGGTAAGTTCGAAAGAGTAGATTTGAAATGGGAGCATAAAATAGTATCGTTTTTTTTCTTTCTTCATTTTGCATTAGTGAAATGTCATCGATGGATGTTTCAAAATTATTGGTGCTTGCAAGTGAAGCGATGCGATGCATAAATCCGGTAAAGAGTAAGCATTTAATTCAAAAGGCCATCCACGTCAATCCATTATGCAGAGAAGCATGGGCTGCCAAACAATTATTGTGTTCATAAATTATCTAATACTTTATCACAATTTTTTTTATTTTAAAATCATTAAAAATGATCGAAAAGTGTCCATTTAATGGCAAATAAAAAACAACAATTTTTTTTACAAATTAAATTTCTTGATGTATTTTATCTAAATCAATATTTAACAATAACATTGGTTGATTTTTCTAAAACGAAGAATCTCAATATATACCGAAAACAAAAACAACAAACCGATTTAATTAATATTCAATGAAAGTCTACGATTGACGTATTTCGAGTGTCACTCTTCGTTGGCTCTTGCATAACACAATACGACGTGTAAGCGATTTGTGTCCAAAATTCAGTTCATCATTGAATGGTCTTGAACTAAGGTGTGGAAATGTATCGTTTATAAACAAATGTTCGCAAGAAGGCCAAAATCGATGGTTGCATATATGATGAGAGATCCGCCTCCAAAAATCAATCCGTTAAAAAAATCGTATGTTGGAAATTTCGGTCACGTGTTCAATTGAATTTTTATTTTCTTGAATTCATCTTGAGTCGCCGAAGCAAATTCCAAAATTTATGCATTTATTTCCAGTTCAAAAACATAACAAAAAATCGTTGAATAAATTGCGTAACATACATGTATGCGCGCACACGTTCACGGTAAATCGATTGGAGTTTCGTTCGGTTCATTCCAAATTTCTTCGCAGTAATCAATCAATTCACCTTCGATGGCTGTTATATCGGCTGCATTTATCACGGATTTTTGTATCAAACAACATGATTCTGGTCGGCGTGTACCTAGAATACGTGTCAATTTTTCGGCTGCATCAACTTTTATTATATAGATATCGTTTTCGTAGCAATAGGCCTCGAGTAAAACTTCTTGAATATGGGTCGATGTATCACCATTGGCTGGTGCCAATATACAAAATAGACTATTATTTGGTGCCTTTGATAACATTTTCACCGCTTCATTTAATCCAATAATTAGACGTCTTTCCACTTGTGCGCACCAAAGCGCCGCTCTTATTTTGTGACCAATGCTCACCATTGGTTTCTTTGCTTCACTCAAATAATTTGTCGCAACCATGTTTCTCTCTGTTTTTTTTTTCTTCTTTCGCTCTAATTTTGTTTGCCGTTATCGTTGTCAATGTTACACGATCTTGGTGTTATCTATGCAAACAAGTGATTCACAACCACTTCTCCTCAATTTTTTTTTCTTTGAATTCTTCGTTCAGTTGATAAAATGTTTTGTGTAGTCTATTTGAATACACTCCGTATGATTCACTAGAATACACAATTGCTCTCACTTTAATGTTTGAGCACACGTAGAAATTCCAAGGGAGAAAAAAAAGCGCTAAACAATCACAAAATCGAGAAAATCGTCGATATCGCATATAAATTCTTCTATTGTTGCGAATCTATTCACGTTGAATCTATCGTTTTAGCCAAAATCGCATTCGTCAATGCTGCTGCTGCTACTTTTGTTAGATATTACGATGTCGACGATACTGAGTTTACTGATAAGGCGGCTATTATCGGCACAAAGCTTTATATATGCGGTTTCCCCACTTTCACAGCGAAATCGAAAAATAAATACACAATATCAATTACGTGAAAACGAAATACCCAAATAACGATCGTACGCTTGTTCGCCAGCTTGTTTTGCACAAACACACACACATACAGCCATTTGCGTTTGCGCACGCTATTATATTAATATCAAGTTTCGAGGAATTCCCAGCACCAATTCGACGATCGCGACCCGAATTTCCATTATATTCATTAAAAATAGACACGTTTATTCTTCGTTGGCAAAATTTCCGAAAATTAGTCGCCGTCTCTTCTCAGGAAATAAAAAAAAATATTTTTCTATCATTTTCTCTCATTTTATTATTTTGTGTTTCTCTTGATTTTTCGTAAGAAACAGAATTTGTTCAAGATCATCACAACGAACACTTGTACGTCTTTTAACATGATGATACACTATCAACCGTAAAATTTCGAACAATAAAAGAATGATACAAATCTGTCAACGTGATAAACGTCACATGAAAGCGAAATTGTTATGATTCACACAGGCTTTCCTCGGAATTCCTTGAATTAACTGAAGAAAAATCAGATCACATATCCATTCACAAAACTCATCTAATAAATTTTCATTTTTATGTCATGTTTATCTACATCATTATAGAATAGGCAGATGTACGATATTACTCATCATTTCTCTTCAAAAATTGAAGAAGAAAAAATCGGAATAGAGGAAAATGGGTTTCTTATCTAATAAATTTTGCGGAATATTATGTTATCTGATTATTTTTTTTTATCTACTTTATGAGATAAAATTTTCGATTCTGTGTCAAATTGGCAAAATCCGGAACGGAACATTTATTATAGTATATTGGATTATTGGATTATTGGATTAAAACGGGGAGTGTCCTATTTAAACAGTAAATTTAAATATAGTTACTCGTTGCTCAAGTTTCATAACTTATTGCAAGACGCCCGTGTGTGTATTGAATACACGAGAATAGTCTTTTATCCAAAAATGTTTCTAAGGCATGGATTGTCATCGCATGCCCGTTTGAAAAACGTTACCAATTTGAATACGTAGGTTGCTCCATAATTTTTTTTAAAATGGTACTTATAGTGT